CACAATCACTTCAGATCTGTGGGGGTGGGGAGCCAGATGAAGGGTCACCGCACCATAAACAAGCATAAATAAGGAATTATGATGTGCTGTGTGAGCCTTGAGTCATCAGGGTGTAAAATATCGCTTCCCGTAAATAGGGATGAAGCGGCAGAGCCGTGCAGAGCTGTGGCAAACAGGCTGTGAGGTGAGGGCTGCTTTGGCATGTTCAGGGGAAAGGAACAACTGGCGAAACTAAAGGATTTTACTTCTGCCACAGAAAGCTGCAGCAGCACCGAACCCACTGAACGTTAAAAACATCACCGAGGGAACTTCCCTGGAATGCAAATTATGGCTGCAAGTAAACTGCTTCATCAAAACCTCAGTCTTTTGCTAAAAAAAAAAAAAAGCAGGTTGGCAGGAACGTTTTGGCTTGTTCTTGTGCTTACACAATGAAGTGGAAAGATTGAGTGCAGCCTACTAGCAGTCATAATTTTGGCTGCTGGACTCTGATATCCAGGTATTAAAAAATTCACTTGTAAAAATTTGAACCATTCTGCTAAATGAACCTTTTTCTACAGCATAATAAGTTGCTATTGGATATATAGTTGATTTAATTATGATTATTTAAGAAATCCAGCTAGCACTTGGGGTTTGCAGTTGTGTTACAGCCAATATTTCCTTATTTATATAATTTAGCTTTAATTTAGTCTTACTATTATAACCCTGTAATAACCCTTCCAGCTGCCATGGGGAGCATCTTTTCCTGTCCCAAACTCCAGTGAGAGGAAGAAATGATCCAAGTAATTCTGACTTCTAGGCAGTGAAGGGGAAATAAAGCCTTCCTTTATGGATCTCTAGCAACCCATGCAACATATTAAATTTGAAAAGCCATATTTGTCTGGGACACCTTCCGAGGTACTTGGCTGTAGCTTTTTGCCTTTCTCATTTGTTTCCAGGGCACTTCCCTCCCCTGGTTTGGTCCTTATTTTGCACCCAGGGTTGCCTGCAGAGGAATCCTGCAGCCCACGCTCCCACTGAGCCTCAGCACTTCCAGGGTTCCTGAACCACCCACAACCTTTTGTGGTGTCACATCTTCAGCCCTTTTCACCTGAACCTCTCCATAGTCACTAACAAAGTGTTTAGGATGCATCTGTAGGCTAGGAAAGATGTCAGTATTCCTGATTTAGAGGTGATGGAAGGACAGGACAGAGAGGAAAAGCAAATAGTGGCACGTTTCCTGATCCTAATCTGCTTTAAGCATGTTGGTGCTTCCTGTTGATGTTGAGCAGTTCCCCCAATGACCTTCTCTATATTGTTGATTCAGATGATGAAGGTGAATGAAATTATCAGAGTTTCTTAGATAGTCAGCCAGCCAAGGTTTTTCTATGCTCTTGGCTTGGCTTTGTTGTTTAAATTTAACTGCTAGAAAGAATCAAGGCTTGATTAAGGTAATAACAGATATTCAGGTGTTCCTGAGATGAAGCACAGAAACTCCCTGTTTCCTACAGAAACTCTCAGAGAGCTGAAGAGAAATGGTTTGTCACGTGGCATAAATGGGAATGGGAGGTTTTTGGGCATGCAGAAATACATGTGCTCCACAAATGGGCACCACTGGAAGCTCGTCCAGCAGCCCCAAGGAACAAGCTGTGCCCCTCATGTCCTGCCTGCAGAAGTGGCAACTAATTGGAAACTTCTGGGAGCTGTTGGGAATTTCTAGCAGGAGCTGATGCTGAGCACAAAAGAGGAGGCACATTTTAAGGTAATTAGGTAATAAGGAAGAAGGATGAGTTTTACTCCAAATGATGCAAATCCATCTGGGATTTTCCTGGGACAGCAGGGCATCACGTGATTTCTCCACAGTCGCATTTTTATTGAAACCAAAAGAAACTGAAAACATGATTCAACAGTTTATCACGTGTGAGGGCTGACTCAGCTGTGTCTCTGGGCTGTGGCTGTGCCCAGTCCCTCTGCAGCCCTGCCCTGCCTGGGGCAGCAGCTGAGCCTGGCTCAAGGTGTGGGGGGCCAAAATTCCCCAATGTAACTGAGGATTCTTCCCTGTGAGGGTGGTGAGGCAGTGGCACAGGTTGTCTCAGCAGCACTGGCACCTCCCACTGCTCCCAGCCTGGGGCTTCATTAGTGCACAGGAGTGGGTGATTGAAGGTCAGCCCTCCTCTGCTGTAACCATCCTGGACAGTGTGACCTCTGCCCTCGCTCCATGTGCCCCCCAGACTCTTACATGGGTCTTGAGTACCCTGGGGCTCACACTGGGGATCTGCAGGGCTGTTGCTGAGTGGGGCTCTCTGTGCTGGGCAGGGTGTTGTCAGGGTGTGTCTGCTCACAGTGCCTCTGCACTAACACCCCACGGTGCCAGTTCCTCTGCCTTCCCCTCCATGTTCAGTAACTCGAGCCTTGGCACACACCAGGGGCTCAGTGAAGTCCCCAGCAGGGCAGGGAACCCAGCACAGACTCAACAATGGGTTTAAACAATAAAAATGGGAAGAAAATTAGAATCACAGAATGCCACGTTGGAGGGGATCTCAGGGATCATCTGGTTCAACCTTTCTTGGCAAAAGCACTGTCTAGACAAGATAGCTCAGCACCCTGCTCAGCTGAATCATAGAAGTATCCAGCACTGGGGAATCCACCACTTCCCCAGGAACATTCTTCCAATGGCTGATTGTTCTCATTAGGATCAGCTTTTATCTAACTGGAATCTCCCCAGGAGTAACTTGTCCCCATCACCCTTGGTCTTTTTGATGTGACTCTCTGTAAAAAGGGAGGCTCCATCTTTGTAGCCACCCTTTAAACAGTGAAATATGCTGGGACCTCCTTTTCTCTGTAATTGTCTCAGCCTTTCTTCTTACAGCAGCTTCCCAGTCCTTGGACCATCTTTGTGACCCTTCTCTGGACTTTCTCCAGCTTGTCCACATCTTTTTTGTATTGTGGAGACCAAACTGAAGACAGTATTCCAGGTGTGGTGTGACAAGCACTGAACAGAGTGGGATAATCACTTTTTTCCCTCTTGTGTGATGCCCTTGACCCCCCAAGACCCTCCGGTACCTTCAGTCTGCAAAGCAGGTATCCAGCAGAAAGCTGCTTGGGAACTGCCTTTCCTCAGGGAAGCACCCAAATCCTCGTCCTTTTAGCTCTGAAGGGGCTGAATTTGCTCTACAGAAAGAGTTTTTGATGAGCTCTTAGTAAATAAGTCGTGTCCCCTCCTCCCACTGTGCTGCGCCGGCCCGGGAGCTGGCACTGCTCACAGAACTGCTGTGAGTGGGCCAGGCAGATAGGAATGGTGCCAAGGCCTTCTGGTTGACCTGGGAAGAGTAAAAATGTTGAGCTCAGGATGGAAGAAAAAAAAAACACCTAGTTGGAGGCAGTTCTGAGGGATCAGGCAGAGAGGTCTGAGAGCTCGGCGGCGCCACCAGAAACAGCTCCAGAAACGGGGCTGGTGCTGAGAAAACCTTCAGAGCTCTGGGGCTGCTGCAGGGGGGGGAGCAGGGGGGGACAGGAGCACCGTGATGCCACAGCTCATGGTGAGGGCTCAGTCTGCCTTGAGGAATTCACCTATTTAACATCCTGCACGTTGAAAGGTCAGCTTGCATTTGGAGGTCGACTTGCTTTTGTTGGCTTGTCTTTGGGTGGGCTCAAAAAGTGTTTGCATCCACTTTAAAAGAACCAACACCGTAAGTAAATCAAACACAATCTTCACAGGAAATTTTGACATAATGACTGTGACTCAGCTTATTAATATTAGTGGTGTTATGTCACTGTTGGTCTCAATGCTTTCTCCTTTTCTTGCCTTGTGAGTGTGCTGCTGGGCATTGATGGAGAGAAAAGAATTGTCAGGTACAAAGGTGAAAACCCAAATGTTCCAAATACAGCATAAGGAGGGTCTCCACTGAGCCTCACTCTGGTGCCATGGTGCTCCTTAATACCAAAACAGGGCCTCAGGACTCAGGGGTGCATCCCCTGGGAATGGCCTCACCAGTGGTCAGGAACAGCCAGGGGGCAGCTCCAAGATTTAATTGAAACTTAAATGGTTTGTGTTATGAGCAATGTAGTCTGGGTAAGGACTGCAGCCACAGAAGTGGGGTCAGAAAATGCAAAAATTACACAGAAAATTCATGGCTTGGTGATGGCTCGGATGGACATAAGTCATGGTCAGGCTGAGCAAAAATTAAATATATCTGCTCATTTCAGCAAGGCAGAAGTTCTTTGTGTTGTCGATTTTATTTTTTTTCTTAACAAACACAGGTGAAACGTTTTATTTTGATTTTATATTTATGTGGGGTGATTTTGGCAAAATTCAAATGAACTTGTGGGAAATTCCCTTTTAATCTAACTCGTATTTTCTGAGACAAAAACGCTGAGATGAGACAGTTCCAAACACCTCCTGTTTCAATGTTTGTTTGAGTTATTTGAGACAAACTATGCTCTGCACATTCAGGTATTTGATTCCATCTTTCATGATGTAACTGAGTGATTCCTGTGTGTTTTCATGGCCAGGCACCAGCGCTGGTGGGTACGAGGTGCAGGTGACAGAAGCCATGAGAGCAATGCCAGTTTATATGACTTTCCAGTAGGTACATAAACAAGTAGGACTGTCAGCAGCCATCCCTGATGTCCAGTAAACATGGTCTGAAGCCCTGTAAATGCAGGATGAGTGTGCAGCCCTTCCCAGGGTGACACGCGTCGGTCCCAGCGGAGCGGGGCTGCCTGGGAAGTGATCCAGCTCCTGCAGGAGCTTGTCCTGGAGTTTACATCAACTCCTTCCAACCTTTTTTTTTGTGTTACTGACAAAGGAACTGCTTCAACCAGCAAAAACTAATAATTATAAAGAAATTACAGTATATACTTTGTTTGCCTTGTGGCTGAGGAAAGTCCATTTGCTGTCATCAGCCATTTTTGCAGGGAATGCAGCTCCAAGCCTTGAAGGCTGTCCTGTCCATGACAGGCATTGTTGGCTTTCATCTCCAAACATTGTGTATAGATAAATAACTTATCTTTGTATAAGAGAAATAACTTAGGAAACAGGAAAATTCTGAAGTAGTCAGAATAAGGTTGTGAGATGGGAGGGTGTAGAAGTGTGAAGAAATTAATACATTTTGGTGAAGAAGGAATCCTTTCTATAAGCTGATCTAGAAATACAGTGGTATTCAATATATTAACCTTGTCCCTTTCCTTACAGCCCCTGATACACGGTTTATAGTCAGAAGAGACATGGGATGAAGGCAAGGCTGGGAAATCTCCTCTCTTGGAACGGGGGATGTGGTTCTCCTGGAGCAGCAGTTGATGCTCTGCACACCCAGCATCTCCAGCCATGGTGGGCAATGGCCATGGGAGAGCTCTCACTTGTGTGTCTGAGGTGACAAAGGGACACCACAGGGAAAAGTGGAATAAAGATGATTGAGTTAGTCCTGAATCCAAGTATCATGGCTGATGAGCTAAAAAAAAAAACAACAAAAAACCCACCAAACAACAACAACAAAAAACTAAGAAAAGAAAAGGAAAAAAAAAAAGAGAGAAAAAACCCTGTGGCTGTGTTCACTGCAAGTTTGTGGTCAGTATTTCCCAGGCTGCCTCGAGGTGAGGGTAAGTTCAGTCATCACACCGCCTCTCGACAGCCTCTGCTGGTGTTTCTAAATCACTCTGATAAAAGATTGTGAAAAATGAACCTGTGGTAGGTTGCATCATCCTTGTTATGTGTTTTGAGCTGGGGACCAGCACAGACCCCACGTTTGGGTCCCACTGAGCCGTCCCTGCACTGCTGCACTCCCAGGCACCCCCCTCGGTGGGGCAGCCCCCGTGTTCTGCTGTGACCCACCTGCATGGCCCTGCATTTCCAGATGTGCTGCTTTCCTGCTCTGCAACAGAAATTTTGCATCAGCTCATGGTCATGGACACTTCAGGTTTCCCTTTGATGGAAGGTAAAAAGCTGCTCTGGGGGAAGCCCCCAGACACTGTGCACAGGACCCCCAGCTGGGGACCCCCAGCTCCCCATGTTCCAGTGCTCTGACACCTTGACTGGGAGGCTTTGCAGCGTTCAGGGCCAGGCTGGATGGGCTCTCAGCAACCTGGACTAATGGAACTGTCCCTGCCCATGGTGGGGGGTTGGAATTGGGTGGTCTTTAAAGTCCCTTCCAACCCAAACCATTCTGTGGCTCTATGAAGCAGCTGATTGGTGAAAATGAGAGTTACAAATTGGTACTGAGGAAATACTTGCAATAAAACAGCCTCTCCAAACATGTCTCGAAATAATGTACTTCACTGCAAGTTCCAACAGAAAGACGTGGGGAGTCCCTGCTGGGCAGAGTTGTTGGAAATTAAACCCAGCCCAGGATCTCTGGGTGCAGCTGGGGCTGTCATCTCCTGGCTGTTGTGGTGCTGGTAGATACTGAAGTGGATTATTTAAAGATGAGAAAGCAGAAACATAAACCCTCCTGGGTACTTGGCTATTCTAAGGTAAGCCCACAAGAGGGAAAGGATCTCCTCAGTAAGAAGTGCCCCCGAGGCAGTCCCCGTGCAATGGTTTCCTGGCACCCTGGGCAGTCTGGGCTCTGGCACTGACCTCTCCCTTTTCCACCCATCACAAAGCAGGAGTGATGGTGCATGAAAGGAGGTGCCTGAATGTGAAACCAGCTGAAAAATATCCCAGCCACTTCCCTTTTCCCATCAGTAGATGTTGCTTCAGTTCCCGTTTCCTGCCTCTCTCACCGGCTCCAAGCTCTCTCAGCAGTTGCTTGCCAGGGACTCCTGAGCCATGGATGAAGACATACTTGAGCTATTTTAAATGAATCTTTGATGTTCCTATTGTATTTTGTCTTCAAATGGGCATTTATTGTCCTTCCTACAAAATATTTATGACTACAAGCTAGAGTAAGGTATTTACACCATGCTATCTGCAGGGCTCTGGCCACAGATCCCAGAGGGCTTTTCCAACCTAAATGATGATCCTATGGAAATGGTGTGTCTTTGGGATGTGGCTCCTGAGTCCTCTGCCACTCCCAGAGCAGTGTGATTACGAGCAACTGTCCCAAAAAGCCCCCTGACCTTTGGAGCTGTTATTTTCAGAGCTGTAAGGAAAAGGAAATAGGAAGTAGAGCTGCTGTAATGCATTTTTTTGCATGCTTCAGTGTGGTGCTGTTTACCTTGTGAGTGGTTTGTGTTTCCATTTGCATTTGGGTGTTGTAACCAGCAGCTGCAGCTCTTCAGCTGAGCTCAGCACTGGGGTTTTCCATGGGACAGTAGACTCAGGGGCAATTCTCAGTGGCTGCATCCTGCCATCAGCCAGGGCTTTGCAGTGGTGTTATTTAACACAGGGAGAAGGGAAAGGAGCCAATAGATCCATTTATCTGGAAGCAGGGCCCCCAGGGCAGCAGAGCCAGGCTGGGAGCTGGCAGTGCATCAGCTCCTCCCTGTACCAGGTACTCTGATATAACCTGAAATTTTTATTGCTCAGTAACCAAGGGGAGAAATGGCTGAGAGGTACCAGAATTGCAGTCCTGACAGTGGGGATGCACTGGTTTGCCAATAAGCTGGGGTTGGAGAGGGGGCCCTGAGCTAATTTACTGGGACAGTGGGTGAAGAAGTAAAGGGCAGGTAAACCCAGACCCTGTAGTGTTAATAACCCTTGATCAGGGGTTTCCAATGCAGTTTTAGAAATATATCTAAGGAAGTTTGCATCTTGTTTGAACTGCATGTGATTGAAAGCTGCTGCAATAATTCTTGGGTTTAATTCTGTTTCACCCCCAAAAGATTAGTAAAACATAATGGTTTCCATGCAGTGGGTGCTGCAGGCTATTATGGGCTGGCATGAATCCAACTGGTGTAAGAGCAGCACTGAGTGCCCTGAAAAGTAGAGGAAAAGAAGGAAAACATTCCAGTGGAGCTGCCTGCACAGATGTGTCTCTGGTACTTTAAGGGTGTTGCATTTTCAAAATGAAACTGTTTGTTTTTTCTTTTCCTTTTTTTTTTTTTCCATTCATAGCAGAAGCCAAATTCTACTGACTAGACTTTCCTTTTCTATTTTTTTTCTTCAATATTTCATGTTTTCCCTCTCTTTCACTGCACATGTTCTTTTCTTTGTTTCCACTGTACGGGGCACTTCTGTGCTTATTTTTCCTGTTCTCCCATTTGAATGGGGCCTGAGGGCAGGCAGTGTCTGCCTTGTGTGAGTGGGAATATCAGGCAAATAAGGAAAGATCTTCCCAGGCACCGATGGCCGCTTTCTAACTCATCTGTGCCAACTGCCCTCTGCTCCTCTATACTTCAGTAGAAATGAGAAATTGTCTACTGTGGCTTACTGTAGTAATAATACACATTAAAACACCCTACTGTAGTAATAATACACATTAAAATGCCTTCAGGGAAGTTTTCCACATTGTATAGAGGGCAAGGGGTCTCCTGTGCTTTAGTTCTTGCATCTAGATTATTTGAAAAATGACATTCCTGAGCAATGGGAAGCACTTGTGGGCACAGCTGTAGCACATCAGAGCCCAGGGCAGGCTGGGCTTTGCAAAGCTCAGCAGAGGGGCTGGTTGTGCTCTCCTTGCTGTTCCTCTGGAGCCAGAAACGGGGGAGCACATGGACCTCTGCATCTTCCAGCAGCAGGACCAGCCCGTGAAGGTAATTCCCTCCTTCCACAATTCGGGGGGAACTTTTGCTCCAATATTTGTTGGTTCAGGCAGGGAGGGGTGTGGGTATTTGGTGTTATTGGTGCTTCATCTTTCCTTGGATACTAAGTTTAGATTCCTTGTTTTTTGGAGTTTGATAAAGCAAATAGTAAGCCAGCACCTGAGTGTATGGAGTGCCATAGCTGGTGTGAAAGGCTCTGGTAGAAACGCCATGTACAGTCTGCTGGGATTCACCTCTGCCCTTGGAGCTGGTATGGGTGGGTTCCCCTGGGAGTTTTATGCTGTTGAACTTCTGTGAAGGAGAGAAACATGGAACAGGTGAGGGATGTGGTATTGCTGTGGCTGGGAGGTGTGGGAGAACAGGAGACTTACCACAGACCTTAACTGAACCATCACCAAAACTGAACAGGAAAATAGTCCTCTGAAGCCAGCTGCTGATTAAAGAAAGATGATAAAACAGGTGGTAAATCAGTGCATAGGCAGGAGGGGAAAGCACAGAGCTGCCTGTGAGCTGCACCACCTGCAGGGATCTGGTTGGTGCAGGAAGAACGTGGCAGAAGCAGCCCTGTGGGATAATTCCTGTGGAAAGGGACCTCGGGAGGGCTGTATTCCAGCCTCCTGCTTGTGCTCAGCCACAAATTGCCCTGAGCTGTTTGCAGTCTTGGAAACCTCCCTGGCTGAGTTGTCCCACTGCTTGGCTGTCTTTGCGGGAAGAAACATCCCCTGATATCCTGGCTAAATCTGTTATTTCAGCTTTTCCCCCTTGTCCCCTGTATTCCTACCACATGCCTGGGAAGAGCCTGGCTCCACTCTCACATGAGGCCCCTGGCAGGAGGGTGCTATGAGCCCCCAAAGCTTCTCCTTCTGCAGCAGAACCCCCCTTGCCCCCTCCTCTCACAGCCAGGGCTTGGTGCCTTGCTTGTGCTGGTGGCTTCAAGCTTTTGGGGCTCATTGCTGTGTTTTGTCAGTGTCTTTCTTGCACTGGGGGGACAGGAAACTAAGCCCAGTGCTCTAGGTGTGACCTGCTGTGTGCTGGGTAGGGGGAGAAGCCCTTCCTTTCATCTTCTGGGTGTGCTTCAGTTGGTCTGTATCAAGGTGGAGGTCTGAGCAGACCAGCCTGTAGGAACTGGAGGCCCAAGCAGGAGGTGACCTGGTGGCCCCAGACCACATTGGCTGCTGGCACTTACTGGGTGTGGACTGGATGGGATAATCAATGAGTGCCTGGAGGGATAAGAACTGAAATAAATGTTTCTGCAGAGATCAGCCTGCCAGGTCTGTGTGCTCGTGAGTAACAGCTCAGTCATTTCTCATCCCGTTGGTGAGATGTGGAGTGGAAGGATAAATCCATGATAACTGTGAGGGGAAGAGGAAGCAGGTTGGTTTTTCAGGCACGGCCTTAGGTGATGCCCACAGGTACTTCTGGCAGTGCTCCTGCAGCAGCAGCCTGAGGCTGCACCCCAGAGAAACACTTGGCTAGAGAGTGATTCAGGCTAAATCCACGCTGGCTACACAAGTATTTTTGGAGCTGCCTCCCCAAGCAAGACAGGCAGTTCTCAGTTACAGAGTGGCCAACAGCCACCCAGGACACACCCTGATTTATCACTGAGCACCAGGAAGGCTGAGGCACCTGATTTATGCACTGAGCACCAGGAAGGCTGAGGCTCTGTTTGTCTCTGAGCAGAGGTGGCAG